TTTTTTTTTCGTAGAAAATCAGTTGTTTATTCAAAACGACGAACACGTGCTCTTACTACTACGAAATCAAAAATTGAACCGGAACCAATTCATATGACACGACGTACAACAAGAAAACAAAAACAAACCAATGAAAGCGATACAACAACTAATCGACAAACTCGAAAACGTAAACAATCAATATCTGATGATGATGGAAATAATAATACCGTTGCTTTACGTAAGAAAAAAGCTGTGCCACCTCCAGCAAAACCTAAGACAAGAAAAACAAGAGCTAAAAAGATAAAAGGTTTGTTGTTATTATATTATTAAAAATATTTAATAGTCAATTTAGAAGTACCTATTCGAGAACCATCACCACTACCTATTATTGATAAGACAACACATTATTCTACTCGTTTTTCAACACGTATATTAAAATAAGAATCTTTTTGATAAGGAATTTAATGTTGTCGTTTTTTTAGGTTCTCATCGAATAAACAATGGTACATTATCATCGACAATGATGACTGATGATGATAATAATAATAAATCAACTCGAGTTCGCACAAAATCTGTTGGTCGACCTCGTAATGATCAAACTGTTGCAACAAATCGTTCACATGCAAATAAAAATCAATCGAAATCACGTGCTAAATCTATGGTGGCTACAAGAGGTCGTAAAAAATAGAGATAATGATACATATATGTATATATATACATATGTATGTTTTAATTTTGTAAATAAAAAAATGTAGTTTTTGTGTATTGTATTGTGTATGAAACAAATAAATTGATGTTTAATTTTTGATACTGAAAATATATGTATAACAAAGTAGAAAATTGTATTTTTTTTTATATATTCATCTATATATGAGAGCGACTCTCTTTAGTTGTATCTTTATTCGAATGAATAATGAAAACAGACAAAAGAAAGAAAAAGAAACAAAGAATGTGAATAACGAGAAACGAGATATGATGTGAGAGAATGTGAAGGCATATAACGATATGACTGTAACATACCTCCCCACCAACAAAAAATGTGTGTCCGCACACATTCAGAAGAGACAAAAGCAAGAAACAACACGAAAAGAAAAAATGAATAAAATAAAGACACGTAGTAAATCGAAAATCCTTGAAAAGAAAAAATGTTCCGTAACGACGGATAAACAAGGTAGCGAACGATATCGATATGTCTAACCGATAAATAAGCCGATAAGAAAATGCAAGAACGACGATGAGTTATAACTTCGATAAGTTTAATCAGGAAATTAGACAATCAGGAAAATATGGAGACGACAAATAGTATTAATTAACCTGAAATGTCTCGAATAGTTGTGTTTGTATGACGACAAACGAAGTTGTAACGCAAAAAAAAAAAAAAAACAAATCAGTGGGAAAAAAATGAAAACGGTTGGGGGGCGTTCAGACAAGACGCCAAATGGAAAAGGAGACCGAGAAGGTATTATCGAGAAGAATTGAAACGATAGGTTAGAGTTATAGAGATTTTCTGCCAATATTCTATACGAAGAAGAAGGCAAAAACCGTGATCCATGTCAAACCGAGTGTCAAATATACGAGTAACGAGTGCGGAGTAGTGGGACATCATGTAATATCATACATTAAAAGAGATTCCAAATTTCGAAGAATTTCTATCGTTGTAATGTGTGTTTTCGACTTTGTGAGATGATGTTGAGAATACGTAGTCATAAGTATGAATATCGATGCGAAAATTGAAGATTGTATGGCAACTTCGTCAAACCGATTAGTTGAGTGATAGGCAATGCCGAAACGTATTACCACTATAAATAAAAGCGACAACAGGAAAACGAAACGTAGATCGAGCAGCCGTAATAACCGATTGAGGAATTGATCTCGTGACTGTAGTTTCGATATAAAATACGAGGGAAGTAATGAACCGTCTACGAGATCATTCAATGTTAGTGCACATTCGTCTTGCTGTTTGGGGTGTAAAACATTCGAAATACGCTGAGTTTCGGGTGATCGAGGAGGCTCTTGCAGACGAGTATCGACATTAAGTACATCAGGTGAATTTATTGTTGGTTGATTAGGTAGAATCGATATTGGATCAATCTTTGATGCAGGTTCAGATAAATCCTGATCCAATTGTTGGACACGCTCGACCGATTGATTTTCTCTTTCTACTGAAGTTTCTGGTGTAATGATCAACGGTTCTGGATCGATTTTGTTGACAAATGACTCCCGTTGCGATCGGATTTCATGAAGATGCCACGATTCAGTACCATCGGGCCATGCGAAAGCAGACGTAGTTTGATCTTGAGTAATAGATGATGGTGCGGTTTGTGGGATAGTACATTTTTGTTCCGCAGGCACGGAATGATGATCGTCATGTGTATCGAAAGCAGGACATCGCGGACAGATAAATATATCTTGTTGTGATTCAACTTTTTTTAGAACTGCGTCATATAGACAATCAGTACAAATTGTATGGCGACACGGTTTGACTGTATAATGATACATGTATACGCAGTTGAAACAAATAAGATCCGATTGATGAATATATTGAGTCATATTATGATGATAATAAATAAGGTGAAAATAATGTAATCGTATTTGTAGTTGGGTCTTTTTTTTTTCTTGTGTTGATACGTTCAAGAAAAGAGCGGGTCACGGCACCAAATATGAGAGCGACTCTCTTTAGTTGTATCTTTATTCGAATGAATAATGAAAACAGACAAAAGAAAGAAAAAGAAACAAAGAATGTGAATAACGAGAAACGAGATATGATGTGAGAGAATGTGAAGGCATATAACGATATGACTGTAACACTATAAAAAGAAACATTGGTTTATTGAATGAATAGTTCGATAAAAGATAAAACTCATTCTTTAGTATCCAACAACTCTATACTAACGAGGGAACTTCCCGAGATATCAAGAAGCTTTTGACCTGAAATTTCTCCTACAAATAGGGAGATACATAGACTAGAAAAAGTCTAAAAGGATATGTGCTCAAGTTGGTGTTTGCCTGAGATATCGACTATTTGTTGTTTTTATCTCAAAGGGCCTTATCTGTGCGGTAAAATCAAAGTTTCGAATTTAGACCTGAAACTTTGTCCACACTAAGACCTCAATCAAGCAAGCTTGCTCACAAAGTTTCAGGTCCAAATTTGAAACTTTGATTTTACCGCACAGATAAGGCCCTACGAGTCAAAAACAATAAGTAGTCGATATCTCAGGCAAACACCAACTTGGGCACATATTCTTTTAGGCTTTTCCTAGTCTACTTGTGTATAATTGATGTTTCATTTATAACAAAGAAATGTGTGACTACTAGTCAATATAAATTCAAATCAAATCTTTACCTTTATTATAATTATCGAAACAACAAGAAAATTGAAAAGAATAATGTTTTGTTTCAATTAAACACACATATACACAGAAAAGAACAACAATATAGACGAATAATGTTGAAAGAAAAATATGGAATGATAAAAACATGAATGATTGACACACACAACAAGCATATATAAATTCAGAACTGTAGAGCAGTTTTTTTTGTTTGTTTTTGCTTTTGTATATGCTTGATTACAATTAGTAATAAGTATATACATTAAATGAGAAACAACAACTAATTCAAAGAAGAAAGAAAAAAAGAAAAGAAAAACAATGTAATGGAATGACTATACGAAAGGTTTGTCTTTAATAATTAATCATCAATTTTATTTGCCATCATTTGTTCCCATTTTTGTGACATATCTAATTTTTTTGGTGGACGAACTATTGGTGCCTGAGCTTTCTAAAAAAAAGGTTTATACAGAAAATTTTAAGAAAAAAGAATTTATTTTATTTACTTCATTTTCAGTTCGTTTTAATCGTTCAATTTTATCAAAATAACGTTCTTGATCATCATCATGTTCTTCCTGAGAAACATTACCTGAATCACCATTAATTGTTGTATTAGTTGATGATGTACTAGCACTTATTGAACTACGTTGTTTTCTAGAAATTAAATCATTAGATTTAGTTCAATATTATTTTCATATGAGATCTAATAAAACCGCTTTAAAATGTGTACTGACATCAACTATAATTCCGATGCAATTTTACTCTATAGCAGAGTCAAAGAATTTCAAAAACGGACAAATTAAACAAATTTTTTATCGTTAAATACTTGTAAAAATGTTTTAGTAAGTGATTAGTAGATACACTATATAAAAAAAAGGAGAAAGCATAGCATATTTGATGATCTTTGAGTTGTATAAAAAACAGGGCACAACATTATTCTTTTCTTTTTTTCGATTAGATACATTTTTGGATGTTCCTGTATTTTGTTGTGCAATTGATTATAATTCCTTTTGAACTCTATTGTGGTTTTAGAATCTGATATGGAATTTTAGGAATAGGACAATTCATCTTCGAAATCATAAATATATATACTTTAATTCTTGGTCACGTTCTTGACATTGACGTTTTTCATATTCAAGTCGATCAGTTGTTGATAATTTGGAATAATCAGCTATTTTATTTGTTGAACTAACAATTGGTGCATGAGGATTTGGACTTGGAAATTTATTACGTACCGATGAAAGTGCTAAAATTAACAAAATAAATGATATTCATATAAAATAAAGAAATTATCTACGTGAATTATTATTATTATTTAATTTTGGTTTGAATAATCCATTTGCTGGTCCATGCGAGCGTGATAATTGTTGATTTTCACTATCACGACGTGTTTTTCCTGTTGATATTGTTTGAATTGATTGACTTTTTGGTAATGTTGAAACAAGTTCTTGATATTTTCTTGGATCAGCATGTTCATCACTTGTATGTTGAATACGACCTAATTGTCGTAATTCAGCTTCTTTAGCACGTATAGCTTCAATTTCACGTTGAATTATATTATTCGAATTTTGTGTTGCGAGTATATTTTGATTTGATGTTGAACGAGGAAGTATACCATTTGTTGAACTTGTACGATTTATTGATACACCATTTTCATTAAAACGATTTAATTCTTGCGAAACAATAGTATGCATTTGTTTTGAATCATCTTGTTGTGGTTCAAATGTATGATTTTGTATTGAAACAATTGAACGACGTGGTGATGATATTGATTCAGTTGATGAATTATTTGCTGCTTTCGATGTAAAAAAATCTAAATTTGATAAAAATGAACTATTTTTAACCGATTGATTTGTTGATAATGTTGATTCAGATTTAATCGAATCATTAGTTGAATTCGACATTATACCAGATCCATCTTCAATAAAACCACATTTTTTACGTTGTCGTTTTAATTCATCTTCTTTCTGTTTGGTTTGACGTATCTCGCGAGCAATTAATGTTTCAGAATAATAACCATTTGTTGGTGACATAGAACCGTTAGCTGATGCATCAGTTGTTGTAGAATAAACGACTGATTCAGTTGTATTACGACGTATAGCTTTGCTAAGAGCATTTTCAGGCTAGAAATAAATTTAATTTAATTGAACTATATTCATCAAGAAAATATTTTCTACTCAGTAATCGAATGTGAATTTATTATATTAAGCTGTTCAATCTAATCTAAATTCTACCTGTTTATCTTCGATAACAACATCTTTTGTTCCAACAACATGATCCGTATATTTATTCATTGGTAAAGTATCTTGATTATATGATTGTCGTCTATTATTGTTATTTGACCCTGTTTGTGGATAATTTGGTATATTTCTTTTTAAACTTCCATAACTAATCGGTATTTTTTTATGATGTTGTTGTTGTTGTTTAACTTCAGTCAAATGTAATAAATGTTCACTTGATTGAGATAATGCTTTGTTTGTATCAGATATTTTTTGTTCAAATAAAGCTTTTATATTTGCTGTTTTAACTTTAATTGAACCGCGATCATCTAATCTTTCATTATAACGTGCATCAATATGTTTTTTAGTTTGATTTTCTTCGGAATTATTTGATTTAACTGTATGATATGATTCACGTTCGTCACGTTCTGTATTTGCTGATGGTATTGATGATGAACTTCGTTCTTCTGAACGTATTGTTGATGATGATGATGATTTTTTTGTTGTTGTTGATGATTTTATTGGTTTTTGAATTGTTTGTGGTTGAGATAAATGAACAGATGATGATAGAAGTGATGCAAATTCGTTTATACGATCTTTATTGATAGGTTTAGGTGTTGAAGTTGATTCAGTTTTCGATAATGATGAAGAATTTGATTTCGGTTTTTCAATTTCGGTTTCGTTATTAGTTGGTGGAGATTTTTTAACAGTTTGTAGTAATTCAGAAAGAAGAGTATTTTTATTTGAACGTGTTTGATTTTCAACAGATGACGAGGATGTATCTAAATGTAATGAGAAGAGAATTGTCAAATGTATTTATTTATAAGGGGACAAGCGCAGCGGTCAAAAAGAAGAAAGAGAATGAAACAGAAGCTAAGGTAAGAGAGGAGAAAAAATGGGATGATTCCTTTTTTTTTTCTTCTTTCATCCGTTGTCGACGCAAACATTATGAGAGTTTTTCTTTCTCTCTCTCTCGCTTCTGTCATCAAATGGTCAACTAAATTACATAATTTTTCTTCTTGAACTGTTGTCTTAAGATTCACTAGACAAAAAAAAAAAAGAACTCTCGATGTGTGCGTGATTAGATGAGACACTATTAAGCTAATACCACCTCAACTTGTCCACTAAACAGGTCAGGAATAGTAATAGACGAACGGATGAACTGTTACGTTCTCACCGCATACTTACATAGAAAAAATAAAAGATTAAAATAGTAACAACGAACATAAATTGTACAATAAACAAAAGAGAATAGGGTGAACTTCCTCATTTAGTATGAACAAGAGAAATTGCGCCACTTGCAATCTAACCATTGTGTTTTTATATTACACACACATGCATCGGAAGATGAATGTCAATATGACGCCGAGATTAATACTATGAACGAACAAATAAATATCAAACGATATTTTTTCTGCTGTTAAATCCTCGGATCAAAATAGAACAATTATTTTCGAAGAAAAAACTTAAATATCTGATCAATAAACATTTCATTCTCATCAAACAATGTATATTAATGAAGTCAATTGACTTTATATAGAAAAAAAAAAGCCCATCGAAATTTTTAATCAATGTTCACTCTACGAAATCTAAGCTTTATTGAAAGCAACATTTATAATCGATATGCATATATATATATATACATTGTTAGACGATTCTTTTCACCTGTTTTCAATCAATTGAGACTTTTTCTTTTTTAACTTTCGCACTCCAGATCGTTTTTATGAGAGATATGACCGACGATGCAGTCAGCAGAACTAATTGACCTTATCAAACAAGCAATGGACCAAAAAGAGTATAGGTTATCTATTTATAAATACCTGCTGTTGTTGTCTTGCTTTTGCTTGATGAAGATTTTGATTTTGTATGAATAGGTGATGATGAACGTGGAATACTAGTTTGTTGTTGTTGTTTTTTTATTTCAGGTGTTATTTGAGCACTATAAGATGAAACTGATGATAAAGAATCATCAAGTAAATTTTTTTGATTTTTTGATGTTATGGGAGCAGAAAATAAATCAAGGACGTCCGATGGTGGATCGGTTTGTAGAAATGATGATGGTTTTGTTATTGAATTATCCTGTAAAACTATATGATATGGTTTTGATGATGAAATTGATGATGATTCATCACGTTCGGGTTCTTGTTCAGATAGAGATGGTGTTGAAGCTGATGATGCAATTGATGATGAACGTTGATTTTGATATTTAGAAGAATCTATTTTTAAATATTAAGACACATGTCTATTCAAAACAGAATCATTTCTTACTATGATTAATTCGTTTTTTATCTTTCGTACTATCGATAGATGATGATATTGATTTATCTTTTGGTACAATTGTTAAAACACCATCGACAATTTCTAATATACATTCTTGTTCATCCATTTGTATAATTTCAATATTGGAATCGATACTTTCATTTAATAAATGTTTGATAGGACTTAAAGATGATGAATAATATTCATTTGTTTTTTTGTTAATCTTTGGTGATGATGTATCTTAAAATAGAACAATATGTATGTGTCTGAAAAAACGAGACGTATGTATAGAAGGGAGAAAAAAAGAAAATCATTATTCGTACATTGAATGTAAAAATACATCAAATTGACATTATTCATAGCAGGTTGCTTAATAAAAAGTTCCTGTCATTGAGATAGAAACAAAAACTATATGTATATCGATTTATATAAGACTATGTATCGTTCTAAAGAAAGATTGACGACATCGGAGAAAAAAAAAAGAGAAAAAAAATCAGAGTAGACAGGTGTCTCTTGCTAAATAAATGACGAGAATATAAGAATGATTACTCATTTTCAGTAGGAAAGAACGAAGACAAAAAAAACCTTCTTCTTTTTCTTTTTTTCTCTTCGAAATGATTATAGCTTGTTTTTCTAACCGATCAATACAGGTATACTGGGATATGTTACTTATGTAAACATAAAAGAACACAAATTATATAAACACATGACTATTTTTTTGTATATAAGAACATACGACACTACAAAATGAATTGTTTTCTCTTTTTGTGGTGAAAAAGATTATAAGTTGGCAATATATAAGAGAACCACTGCCGTTCTGGTCGTTTGCCCGTCAATAAGCACAGAGAAAGAAAACTTCTGTTGCTGTCACCGCTATACGCACTAATGACTCGTTTTTTTTAATATAACTATACCTTGGTATGAAGTGCTACTTATATTTAACAATGATGATTCATCTGTTTTGATCGTATGATGATGATGATTATTATTATTTATTGGTATAAAATTATATGATGATGTTTCAATATTCTTGTTTTGATTAGTATTACAACTAAATAGAAAAGAATTAGATGAAATCTTTTTTTTTTGATAAAGAAAATCTTTTAGAAAACATACTTTAATGAATTATTATGTAATAACATGGTTCTTTCAATACGTGTAGATGTTTTTGGTGTTGTCGTTGAATTCGAGTTTATATTTTGACAAGCATCTGTTTCATCAACTAAAACGATAGTAACCGTTGAACTCAATTTTTTTTTTCTTTTTCTGTCGTGTGTTTTATACTCTTAAAAATTGAATTAAACACACGTACATAAAGAGAAAAAGACTACATATATATGTATATGTATATGTATATACATATGTATACATATATATTAATGTGTGTCCCGTTATCGGGCGATGACCGTGTTACTGTACTCATTTTCAAGATTTAGACTCATTCAACTGAAAAAACATTCTCCCTCTCTCTCTATATATATGTATTGTCCATTTATGATATATTCTCACCTTGATTATTTGATAAGAATGGTTGTATAAGATTTGTTTTTAAACGACGTTGTTGAAGATAACTGATTGGTTTCGAATTATTATTATTATTAGGTGATCTAGTTGGTGAACTAGGTGAACGTATCCATGTTTTACGTCGTTTACAACGAACTCGTGTTATCGAAATAGCTTCTTGGCGTAATGTTGAACTTGTATTATTCAGATCATCACTTGTACAGCTGTTACGAGCCGCATCCGATGAGTACCTATACAGACAAATCAACTTATCAAATAAGAGAGAGACAGAGACTCATACTTGATTATAAATAGATATCAAAGAACTATTGACATTTCACTCGAGTGGAGTCGACTATACACATCGATATTTATAGTACAACACAAAAAGAAGAAGAAATCGAGAAAGAGAAAGCGAATAACTACAAAGACGAAACCTCTACAATGCTCAATTGAACGTTCAGATAGATATATATATGTGTGCAAATAAAACAAAAAAGAACGAAAAAATAAACATGACAATAAAATCATTATATTTAAACAGACAATCAATCGATAAAATTCGAATAACTTATGTAAAATAATGTTTTTATTATTCTCTAAAGAACCATTTAAAATCAATTATCTTAATGTCAAAGATACATTTCTTTCTCTTCTTTAATAAAAGAAGAAAAAGAAAACTTTTCACTTTGTTGTTAACTTAATGATTGATATATGTAAAAGTTATGAAAAGTAAATGTCACTTATACACATAAGAATACTCAGAAAGAAAAGAATTGTAAAATGATCTGATTCTTCTCTTCAATACAATGTATATATATATATATCTTCTCCATTTACATCTATTTGACTAGAGAAACAAAACCTTGGCAGAAATGTCCATGAGGTATTAAGAAAAAAATTATCTTTTTTCTCTCACTTACTTAACATGTTTCAATTTAAATTAATAATGATTACTTGTAGAAAGTTAGATAATATAAGAAGCAAAAAAAGCTTTTTATTTTATTCTTTAACTATCCATTTTTGTATTAAATAGCCTAAAGAGAAGTTACTTTTTACTTACATACAGATAGTCATGGTGTTTTTTTTGTAAAGTATATATGTTGAATACAAAATGACTCGATTGAACTTTTTTTTCGTTCGATTAAACGTATGTTAAGGCCTACTTCAATCAACTATTGACAGTGTGCCGAGGAAGAAGTAATTTTACTCTTCGCGTTGCATCACTCTCAACTAGGACTATATACTATCGTTAGCTATTATTAAAATGAAGAGGCTCTTTTGTGGGTTACTTTGTATATGTGTATATATATATATATACATATGTGTACACATACGAAAACAAAATAGAGGACAACGAACAAAGTTGTGCTGCCGTTTACATAAGCAATGTACAAAACGAATACTAAGTATGTTGTAAAAGGAAGAGAGTAAAGACATGTATTTTTAATCCGACTGAACGGATGTATGTTAAGGAATGTGATGGATATAGGATGTGATCTTCTTTTCGTGATAGGAAATCGAATTTGATTTTATTTACTATTTTCTTTTTTTGAAGATGTAATAGAATATCTAAATGTTGTATTGATACAATTTAAGATATGTAACCAAAATGTAAATTTTAAAGTGTAGGATAGAAGAAAGAATCACCTTGATTTTTAAATTGTGATTACTTATTTGATTAAAATATGTCATTAAATAGACGACTGTTGTATAATATTAAACAGTTATACGGATAAATGACGAAGCGAATTAAAGGTTTCATATAATAATTGAAGTTAAAAAAGTGTTTGAGAAAAACTAACCTTAAATCTTCTGAATAATTTGATTCATCTGAATAATGTCCATCATCATCATCGTCATCATCACCACCACCACTACCACTAACACTCGTTTCTTGTTGTGTCATCATTTCAATACCATTATTCATTTTGATCGACTGAACAATTGCTTGTTGATTTACTGTATTAGAATCATTAATATTATCATTTGTTCGTTTCTCTTGTTGATTTAGTTGTTCATCGTCGGCAGAAATTCTTCGACAATGATCATGTTGCATAGACGATGTCATCGATTTATTTAACGAGACATTGTCTACATTTGACCTTATCTTATTATTATGTTCAATATAATGCTTAGTATTGCCATAATCGGATAAACATTCTTTTTCTTTAACAACTGTATATTTTGTTGCATGTACCATACCAGAAAAATGCTGATCAGGTGGTGTTAAACTAAGTCGTATTCGAATTATCTGTTCATCATTATTTGCATTGTTTTCATTTCTATAACAATAGATTAAAGATTAATATTAAGTATATTTCTTTGGTAGATATATGAAACGTAGGATATAGTTTCATGAACTTAATTGAGGTTCTATATAGTGGTGGAGATTGAAAAACCCTCAAAAAATGGATGCTAGAGTTTGTATATATAACAAATACAACGCACTCTGTACTGCAATTTAAGATGTTCTTTTAAACAGAGAAATATGGGCTAACTTACTGTAAATCAGGTGTCATATTAATATCATATGTATTTCCATAATGTTTAACAGCAGATATCATTACGTCTGAATTTTCATCAGTATCTGATTGAAAAACAGTTGTATCTGAACATACACTAGTATCATGTTGTGTATTAGTTATTTTAGCAGGAATATTTGATGTAATTGTTGTAAGTGATAAACCATCATCGAATCTTGTTGTTTCTTCTGGATAAAAATATGTATTTTCATAATCCATACTCATTGTTTCTTGTGGTTCAGTTGGTTGTTCTTCTGAAAAACTTGTTATTGCTGTTATAGCCATTGTTAAATGATTTGAAAGTGAATATGTTCGTACACGTTTAGATAATGATGACGAATAACGATTAAATCGTTTTTGTTCATTTGATGCAAAAAGATTTCCACTTGAAAGACTTCGACGTTTAGCAATTGATTGATTATTATTACCATTTGTTGAATTCATCATTGTACGTGATACAGCACTACCATAAGATTCACCATTAAAAAATGTTTGTTGTAATGTATTAGCAATAACTGATTGTAATGTTTCAGCTGATGATGTTGATGAAGGATTTGAAAGAACTTAAATTATAGAAATAAATTTATTTTTTTATTTTTTATTTTCATACCTTTCTCTTGTAATTTATGTTCATTATCATCGATTAATTTTTTCTTTTCAAAATAATCAATACGTTGTTGAACATCATGTAATGAATGTGTTCGTACAGTTGGTTGTTGTCCGATTAATAATTTCATATCTGTTGTTGGTGGTTCATACAATGAAGATATATTTTTCTGAAAATTAAGATGATTTTTTATATCATGAATATGATTTGTTGTTGATGATGAATGATATATAGTTGAATAACAAAATGAAGATGAAGATGATGATGA